TATATATTGAGGTTATTTAAGAGACAGAACGGGTAGAGTTGAGGAATAAGGTGGTGGGGGGTGGGTGGGGAAATAGGATTAATTGAGTGCCTGGCATTGTGCCTATGTTGCAGATGAGGAAACTAAGGCTCAGAGATGAAGCAGCTTCTCTAAGGTTATAGGAAGCAGTGGAGCTGGGCTTTGAACCCAGGCTTGACTGGCTTGAGATCCCAGGCTGCCTCAGTCTGAGGCTTTAAAACCCCAACTCCCCAGCCCAGCCTCTTTAGATGCAGACATAGTTGCTGGGTCTGAGACCTCAGCCAGAGCAGCCTTGCAGAGCCTGGGGTCCCAGCTGCAGGGCCAGGGCCTCTGGCTGGACAGGGGGTGGCGGGAGCAGGGTGGGCCAGGCTCTCCATCCTACCCACTTAGGGCATTTTCTCTCCATCCCTGCTCTCTTGGCTTACCAACACCTCTGCCCCTCTTCCCCACAGCACATCACAACTCGCCACCAGGCCTCAGCTGCCCACTCAGCAACAACCCTGCCATCCCACCCACCCAGGCCCCTGAAATGCCCCAGCCTCGGCCCTTCCGCCTCGAGTCCCTTGACATCCCTTTCACCAAGGCCAAGCGTAAGAAAAGTAAAGGCAACTTTGGCAGTGAGCCTCTGTGAGCACAGCTGCCTGCCGCTGTCTGCCTTATAGGCATCTAATGACTGCCAGGCCCTCCCAGGGCAGTCCCAGCCAGGCCTCCTCCCACCTGCCACACAGCGCTCCGGGGCCTGAGGGCTCCCTCAGCCCTGGGAAGACACATTCCCTTCCCTGTTCCCCAGAGAGTCCACCTCTGCCCTGGGCAGGAGCCCCTTGGAGGCTGAACAGTCCTCCTTAGAGAGGCCTGCTCCAGCTGTTCACACCACATCAGTGTTTCCGTCTGCTCACCTGCCACGGAGCCCACACCCATGCCCACCAGTGTTGGTCTTTGCTTCAAAGCCTCAGACCTGCTTCATGGCCTTCACCAGCCCTGATGGAGTGGGCAGCAGCTGCCACGTGGAGGAAGCTCAGTATCAGCCGGGAAGGAACTGTGCCTCTGCCTGACTGGCCCCACTTCCTGAGAACTGCCCTGCCCCGTGGGGTGGTACAGGGGTCCCACAGCAAGTCTTCCTGCACTGCCCACCCCTGGCTGGTCTGTGGCCCAGGGAAGGCCACTCCACATTAAGCTGCCCAATAAACTGCTTTTAAGATAAGCTCCCCTTCTCTGGCCCTCTGACTGTGTCCCTTGGGGCCCCTCCCTGCCATTGTGGCCTGGCTGTCCCAGGGAAGCTCTTTCTGGAAGAAGCGTTCTCTTGCCTGGGACCTCCAGGGTTTCTGCAGCTCCCTACAATCGTGAGTACATTCTTCTGGGAAGAGCGTCTGAATTTTCATTAGATTCTCGAAGGACCTGTGACCCAAGAAAGCAGAGCCCTTGTTGTGGAAAATAGGGCCATGTCTCACTGAGGCCAGAAAAGGGCCCAGCTTTTGACAGTCCTGGGGGCTGTGCTGGGACTGGGTTCCCTGATACAGCCAGAAATGAATCCAGGCCAACCTATTTGTGTCCACATAGGGGGGTACCTCCCCTTGCCCATTCTATCCCAGGCCTCTCCTGTGGGGGGCCCCAAATCTAAGGGAAAAGGCTTGGCCTTTGGCACAGTCCTGAAACCCATTTCACTCTGAGCCTCATCTGTGAAATGAGGATAACACCCACCTCACAGGGTTCATGTGAAGATTAAATGAGATAGTATGTAAAGCTCCTGGGGCATAGCAGGTGCTCTGGGTTAGTCCTCCACCTCCCTATTTTGTATCAATTTCCATGGCAGGCCCCACAACACCCAGGCCTGGGCTCACACTCTTGAGAAGCTCACACTCTTGAGAAGCTCACACTCTTGAGAAGCTCGGGTGGGGGTGCTTAGACAGCTACAGAGATGTCCAGCCAGTGGCAGGCGGCAGTGCGTCTTGAGTCAGAACAGGTGACATCAGGTCTTTTTAAAATTATTTTTAGGCCGGGCGTGGTGGCTCACGCCTGTAA